CAATGCGGGTTGCGAAACGTCGTTCTCTTTTGTAAGCTGCCGTGTGTTCGTATGTGGAGGTCAGGCCACCGAGCTGTCGAAAGGGAGTCTGTCACGTCGGTTGATTAGTAGCATTCTCGTTCGAGCAGTGACGGGCTTCGGCTCAATGATCTGCCGGACAAGGTGTGAAATCTCCTCAGGCGGGGCTTAGCCTGTTGGCTGAAGGAGGGAGTACCACTGCATGTGGATAAAGACGGAGCTTCAGAGGCGATTAGTAGCTTCTCGTAGTATAGTTTTGGGAAAGGTTGATTCTTGTCGGACCGATGGAAGTGAATACCCGGACGACTGACTTTGTCCCTGTATTTAGGCACTCAAGGTAACCCTTGGTATCGGTATGGATGTGCAAAAAGGCAAAGACGGGATGGGGTATTCTGGGTAAGGTGGAAAGGGCGAAAGCCTTGCCGAGACCTGGGTACCGCGCTCGCGACGGTTGAGCTGCGCTTGAGGTATGGGATAAAACTCTACCGATAGTACCAGCGGAGAGACCATATTGGGGATGGCCGGTGAGGAGATGACCGACCCGTATGTGAGGCTGCCTGATTTTTTTACGTGTTCCCCCTCTGTAAAAATTGATTGAGCTTGGGCTGTCGGACGGGACATATTTCTAAGTCTATCCCCCCCCCTATCTAAGTCCACACGAGTGAGAGATGATCGAAAGGAAGGAGGATAGAGGTCAATTGGAATGGAACCAAGAAAAAGAATGTGGGCAAATGGATGGCCGGCCGAGGGAATTATGGGAAGGAGGTACTTAGGAATGGGGAGGTAAAATAGGAAGACCTTGATGAGGGGTCTGAAATAATTCTCATCTAGGGCAAGGGTTGACCTGACCAAAAGGACCGGTTGCTGCTCTTTTTATGAAAACAGGGGTCGGGTGCTGAAAACAAGATGGCACGATGGTTGCCTTCTCCGAACTATATTGGCGGCCCGGAAATGCCAGTAGATGTAAAGGATAGGGTATCGGTCGTCCTCCCGGAAAATGGGACGTGGACGGACCTTGAACCAGGATATCAAACGGTAATGCTGGAAGGAGAGGATGTTTTTCTTTGGATAGAAACGGTATGGACTAATGTCAGCTTGACGAGGTTGTCGCCGAGTTTAATGGATTTGGAATTCCGAGGGACAGTGGAAGCCCGGGGGTGGGTCTACTTGTCGCAAGATGGGGAGAAAGCTATGATCATAGAGTTGACTCTCGGGAATACACCGGACGAGTTGTTTAGGAAGGCAGAAAATGGAAATGGAAAAGGTAGACGTACGGGTGGAACTTGGGGATAGAGGAAGCATAAGGCGACCCGTAAGAACCATGCGATGTGTGCTGCCTCCCTTCCTCGTGGATGCTGTTTTTGGAACTCGAAGCAGGCTAGTACGGATATGCCAGTCCATGACGAACCTCGGGCTATACCAATGCGCTAGGCAAGATTTTTTTCGGTTATCGGTAGAGATGAGGCCATTCGAGGGGAACTGGGCGGAGGAGCTGACTGAGATACTAAACTGCCTTAGCATAGACAATATCTTTGTCCCTAGCGCTGTGCATTGGGAAATAGTCTACAGGAATGTGGCAATAGGGGAGACGTTTCTAGATGGGGTAAGGGAGTTGGTATATGGCGAGGAGGGAGACTTCAGTGATGAAGACGAAGATGAAGAGATAGAGGACTGAGACTTCTAAGAGGGGTGGGGTAACTTAACCTAGGAAGGACGGGTGGCCTAGTGTTGTGCAGGAATAGGGAAAGATGACTAGAGAAGAGAGGATGATGGAATACACCTTCAAAGGGTGGGAACCACGGCGACTCAAGGGAGGAATAGAAATGCCTGTACCGACAGAAAATGAATGGAGAGGGACCACGTGCGATTGGATTGGGTTTGAGGTTGCCGGGGACTTGTCATATGTATGGATAGAGCGGATCTGGAACCCGATAAGGGAAGAGGAAGGTTGGGATGATATAGCGGAAGGCAAGGTAGAGTCGGTGGGGACGATTGTTCTTTCCGTGGATGGATGGCACCTGTTTTGCACCATGTTAGCAATGGGACAGGACCCGATGTGACTTCTAGGGGATGCAAAGGCCCGAACCCGAAAAGAGGGCAAGCGGTTCGCCAACGAGGGATGGGACGAAGTTAGTAGCAGAGTTGTGATGGGAGGATGGAAGGAACTTAAGCTTCCAGGTCTACGGATAACGGCTTGGGTACAGGAGTTCATAGCCGAGTGGTTTGGGGGGTTTGAGCACATTTTAGAAGTAGCCGATTCCATGAGAAAGGTGCATATAGAGTGTGTCTGGCTGACTGAGGAGTTCTATAGGCTCTCATTGAAGTATGAGCCCTTCTACGGAGATAAAGTCGAGGAAGTCATCATCGTCCTAAGAATAGGCAGGTATGAATGCCTAGAGGTAGAAGCGGAGTCTTGGGACGCCATAGTTAGCCGAGAGGCGGCGGCCGCACCCTCCTACGTAGACGATGTCTTTAAACTATTTGAGATGTTGTGGTTCGACTGAACAAGACCAAGGGATCAAACACCGCGGAAAGGCCTGAGTATGGAAGGTGTTTGTGGAATGAGGGGTAACATAAGAAAGGGGGTGTGTACATTAGGCCGTAGATGGTGCATAAGGATCGAAACAAGGGGGAAGTGACGACAACCGGAAAATGGGTAGAATTGTACGTGTATGAGTTAGGGATAGCGGCAAGAACCGGTGTACGATAAGTAGGGAAGTCTGAAAGACTAAAACCCGAAAGGCATGGAATCTCGGTGGGTGCAGCAATTGGACCAAGAAAACAGGAAAGGAGACATTGCAAGATGGCCCGGCGAATGACGTTCTGGGCGGATAAACCTCGTGGGATCCTGCCCCCAAGAATATCGGAAGGCTGGGTCGAAATAAGCCTGCCGGCAAGAAATGCGGTAAGTAATCCGGTAATGGACTGGGTAGGGGTAGAGTTGATGGAAGATACGATGTACCTAGTAGTGAAGCTGGAATGACGTGCGAGAGGGGAGTTCGGGGGCGTAGACTTGAACCTCCCAGGGCGTGTGCATGCGACAGGATCCTTATACCTGTCGAAAGAGGGGTGGCGGACCTTTGGAATTGCCTTGGCCTCCGGGGAGCACCCCGTGTAAATGTTCGAAGGGGCATGGCAAATAACCTGGCGGGAGGGGTTTGAGTTTGCAGACCCGGAACGAGATGACGTAACGGCGGAGGTAAGAGTTGTCGCGGCAGGGATCTTCGAGTTACCCAATGAGGTCATACGGATGAGTCTACCGCCCTTTCTGCTAAGGCTAATGGGAGGCATAGAACGAGTGGAGCAGGCAGTGACTGTCGTAACTAGGCTAAATCGTGACGAAGCATTAATGTATCAAGAATACTATCGGGCCTTCCTAGAGATGGGGCTTTCGGGGAGGAACAGGAGCGCGAGGTGCTTTGCATTCTACAAGCGGTAGTAAATACTAGGCCAGGAATTCCACAAATAAGTGATGGGGCCATGTGGAGAGTTATCTGGCAAGAGGTAGGTTGAGGCGCGACCTACGTAGATGACCTCTACCGGTTGTACGAATTGTCAGAAGGGGCGGCTACTCCCAGGGGTATGGAAGGATAGTTGGGACCAGAAAAGAGGAATGAAAACACGAAGGACAAGGAGGCAGTAGGTGGACGTTTTCTGGGGATTGGTTGTAACCCTTTCTATGTGGACTATGCAGGGAATCACCAAGGCAACGATGGCAGCAAGACGTGAGCGAATGGAACGCCAGCCCCGTGTGCGGAGGGAACGTCAGCCCCAGTACCCTGGACAACCTTGGAACAACGGTGGGCAATGGGAAGTATCCCTCCCGTCGAGTTCTACCTATCGGGGATTCGACGTAGAATGGCGGGCTGTGACTTTGGGACGGGATGCCGCCTTCACGTTGGTAGAATGTTGGTGGACGGGGATGAGACTCAATCGTGGACCGGGGACGACCTGTACTCCAATCTGGAAGTTACCGGAACCATATATCTGCCAGAGATTGGCTGGCACTTGTTAGGGGTAGAGATAGCACAAGGTCATGAGCTGGCACCGGTCTTTCGGAGGGTCGCCCGGACATTGACCCGGATAGGACAATCAGTCAGAGGTAGAAGGAATGTGGGGTTACTGACCCGGGTGGAAATGGGAGGTTGGAGGGAATTCAGAGCACCAAACACACCGCTGAGGTGTCAGGTTCCCCGTTTTATGATAGATCTCGTCTTCGGGAGCCTCGCAAGGGCGCGGGAGCTGGCAGACTCAGCAATAATGTAGGCAAACCAATTTCCCCCTCTGACCATCGGGATGTTCTACGATATCGCTGTGGAACATGGGCCGTTCTGGGGAAACAGGACCCATGAGTTACTAGAATTCATCCACATCCTATTGATGAGGGTGCCATGGCTAGACTGGGCGGGATGTGAACGCATAATCAGGAGGGAAATTGAGATAGGAGAGAGTTATTTAGCAGGGGTGGCTGAACTATTCGAGGAGCCGACCGAACCAGAAGAGCCGCGAGGGCGAGAGCGGGATTAGCATCCGCAAGCAGGCTAATAGGGCAGATCGAGTATAGTTCGCTGCGTACGGGAGCTCACCGATGAGAATAAGAAAGGGACCTCGGACCCGGATGGCTAAAACCCACTAGAAAAACAAAGAAGGGGGTAGACGCCTAACGATTGACCATAAACCTGAAGGTCTAAAATGGGAAACACTGCTCGGGAAGACTTTCCCTAGCAGAGTGCCCAACCTGGGGCCCCTCGCATCAGCAGACGGGATAAGGGCACTACAAACGAGCCTGTGACAAAGGAAGCCAAGTCATGCTCATAGCCCGGTTGGGTGGCAGGGGTAGTCGCGGCTCCTCCTTAAGGAAGGGCAATCAGGAAACAGGGATAGAAAAATGGGGCTACAAAGATAGGTCAACAGAGCCGGGGGGCTAGGGAATCTAATTACCTCGCATTGCGTGTGTCCTGGGAATTCTTTGGCTTATGCAGAGCTAGGCGAAATGGCAACGGAGGAGGAGACAGATAACCGTAAGAGTGAAGGAGAACCAGGCTTAGGAGGCAGTGTTGCACAAAGCGAAGGGGGACAGAAGGACCGAGAGTCGATAAACCCGGATGGTACCAAAGGAAACCGGAAGGAAATCTCCACGGGAGAAAGTTCGGGGAAAGCCGGGGGAAGCAGGCAAGGGACCCTGGAGACCAAGGAGGGCAGAAATAAGGATAGGACAAGCCCCTGAAATTCGGAAGGAGCCGTGTCTAAGAAAGTAAGGGTCGCGGACGCGAGGCGCAAACTAGCCGAGATAGAAAAAAGGACCGCGGAATACAAGGCAAGATTGATTGAGGAAATGATGACTGGGAACAAAGAAGGCCCTCTGCAGGAGGAACCCCGGGACGAACGGAGAGTCAGCCGAGGAGGGACTGGACAAGGGGATAAAGGTAGTGACCGTGGGGGAACGCCGAGCAAAAGAAGGAAAGAGAGAGAAAACTCTCCGGGGATGGAAGCAGAGAAGGCTACGACTCCGCCAGCCATGGATAGTAGGGCTAGCCGCTTGCCGACCACGCCAGCGGTAAATCGAGGATGCGAAGGACTTTGGAGCCTTAGGGAAAGAGTGTTGGGATGGTTTGACCCGGAAGGAACTATGAAAACCAGGGAAGAACAGAAGGCCGACAAGGAAGGTCCGGATAATAGTATGGCAGGCGAGGCCAGCAGCTCCGAGGGCAGCCTTAAGAAGGTAGTGTCGTCCCTCGCGAAAGCACTAACCAAAAATCAAGGCTACCTAGCGGATGCTAAGAAAAAGTTGACGTTTGATGGGGCAAACATCACAGAATTCCTGATAGATTATGAGAATTTGGTTGCGTTGTTGAAATGGACCGAAGAAGAGAAGATGGACCACCTGGGGCAGCACGTGTCTTTGAGCCTAGGCCGGGACATAATGGCCATTGTGGCCGCGAGCCGGTCTTGGAAAGAAACTCGGGATGTGATGATGAGAAAGTATCTGGCAGCAGAGAAGATGGCAACGGAGGTCGATTTAGCGGCAGTCCAGAGGAAGAACTTCGCAACGTACAATGACTTCCTACGGGAGTTTACCTTGGTAGCACTGAGAATCCCCGGAGTTACGGACCGAATAATGAGTAAGTACTTCCTCCGGCAGTTCTCCGAGTTCGATAAGGACAAGATTATGTCGGCTTACCAACAGATGAGCAAATTCGTAAACACTAGGGATGTTGATTTCAATACTGTAACGGATCTAGCCGAAAAGACAGTAGTGACAGAGACATTGGCCTTGCTTAAGGAAGGGGAGGTCATAGATCTGACTGGTAGAACAAGCGACAAGGTAAAGAAGGGGATTGAAAGCCTACATGAGCGGGTGCACGGAGTTGACAGTAAAATTGAGAGGATGGAGGGCGCACTACTGGTTATGCAGGCACAAGTATCCCGATCCGCCCTCCCTCCCCATGAAGCTGTGGTTCCGCCAGGTGTAGCCAACCGGGGATTCAGACGGAGAGATCCTGCTAACGAGCAATGCAAGTACTGTACCGTGATGGGACATTATGTACGCGCATGTCCAAAGCTCAACCATGATATCTTAAAAAGAAGATGCACCAGGTCCTTAAAGGGAGAGATATTCGGACCACAGGGGGAGCGGGTGAATTGGAACTCACCAGGGGGAATGCGAAGAGCCGTTATCATGCTCAACGGATTAGAGATAACAACCGTAGAAGCTGAGCCGGTGGTCGATATCGTTTGGGATCAACAGCGGGGCCGCGGGCCGCAGGTCAACTTTATCTTGGAAAGCGATGGACGTGATAGGATAAACGCGACCACTCGACTAGGGACGGCTGGGAGAAGGATAAACCGTGATGCCATTATGGAGGAGGTTGTCGGAAGCTCCGAACTCCAGGCAGAGCCTGAGGCCGAGGAACCAGAGAAAGTCTATGGGAAGCCTAGGGAAGAGGAGCCTGCGGACAAGGTTACCGCCGCTAAAAAGAAGTTTCGGTATCAAATCCCGATCTTAAACTCGCCAGAGATCGACGACACCATTAGCAAGTTGTTAGGAACCATGGTATCGGTGTCTTTCCAGACCATGCTGCAAGCTAGTCCTAGGTTGCTCAAAGGGCTTAGACAACTGTTGACTCGGAGGCGAGTAGAAATAGGCGACAACCCCGAGTTACCGGAGGGGGAGAAGGAGGAGGAAGCTCCGCAAGAAGTGGCTAACCTTCAGAGGAGTCGTGGGGACTTGGAGGATCTCGAAAAAGCTTTTGCGGACATCCGCTTGAGCTTGCCCGACCGAGAGGGCGGCGAGGTCATGAGGTCACCACCCGGGACAAAGCTTAGCTTTCATGCACTGCCCGTAGGAAAGCTGAAAGTCCAGATCGGGAGTCATCATACTGACGCATTAGTAGACGGGGGAGCGGAAATCACTCTCGTAAGAAGAGACTTCGCGACGATCACGAGATGTGCGGTAAACAAGGAAGTAACCGGGAGCATCCGGGGAGTTGGCGGGGAAATCCCGTTCGCTGGGTACGTCACGAAGTGCGACGTGAAGGCGGGAGTCCGGGAATCGATTTGGTCGTTTCAGCGGATGACCGAAATGGAGGATATGGACCACGACATAATTCTCGGAAGACCGTGGTGCGCGAACGTAGAGATGATAGGCATGCACTTGCACGATGGCTCGTACATGATAGACATAGAGGATCCTGTGACCGGCCAGGGAGAGCTCCTTCGAGTCCTTGGAATTGGAGGAGATCCCCCGAAGGGAAAATTGGCAACATGGTCGCCGTCGTTCGAGGATAGCACGCGAAAAGGGGCTTTCGCACGGATGGAGGGTATGAGAGAAAGGGTAGAAATCATGATTGAGGAAGCGTTCAACAAGAAGGAATGGATCAAGATGGGCCTGCCCCAGAAGAAGAGGAGGCAGGAGGACGAAGTCCTAGGTGTTATGGTGGCAGAAAAGGAGTCAGAAGTCCAACTTGGTGCTAGCTTGCCGAAGCAAAAAGAGGTACGCATAGACGTGCCAGAAGTCGCACTTGAGATCCCCGATCTGTTACAACTCGTCAAGGCCCTCAGATACCACAAGGTAGGGGTGGACTCAGCAGCCTTGGCCAAGTTCAAAGGGGAGGTGCATAGGGGGTATTGCCTGAATGGGAAACTAGTTAGTATTCAACTACGAGTCGTAGAGTCATCGAGGGCAATCCCGACCGTTCATTTTTTAGGAGAAAGATCCTGGAAGGAAGTGTTCGAAAGTACAAGCCACTAGGGAAGAAAGCAAAACCGGTCTCGATCTTGCTAGAGACATCAAAGGAAGAGGCTATGGAAAAGGAGGAAGAGGTCCTTCGGGTGATCCAAGAAAGACAGAGGGACATCGGATACCAGATGAGGTAGCCGACACAATGAAGATAGGGATAGACGAGTTCCTAACGGAAGAAGAAACCCGCCTGATCAAAAGGACTTGCCAGGAGTTTCACCTGGCCTTTGCCTTTAGTGATCACCATAAGGGACGATTGGATGCAAAGCTGATCCCTCCGGTCAGGATCCACACGGTAGAACATGAGTGCTGGAATGACAAGGGACCGTCCTATGAATTTGGGATAGCAGGAGAAGTAACAGACCTCCTTCGAGCAAAGATGGACTCCTTCGTTGCAGAGCCAACGGCGTCGCCATACGCCAACCAGTGGTTCGTCTTTCGAAAACCTAACAAGACACTAAGGTGGATCTAGGACTTGCAGAAGTTGAATGCGGTAACCATCCGGGATGCCGGCTCGCTACCTCAGACTGACTTATTAGCAGAATCGCACGCCGGTCGGAGCATTTACTCCCTGATAGATCTGTACTCCGGGTACGACCAACTTTCGTTGGATGTTCGGGACAGGCCGTACACCGCTATGCACACCCCCGTAGGCCAGCTACAGATGCAAGTGACCCCTATGGGATTCACAAACGCGGTGGCCGAAGCGCCCGCAGGATGCTCGCCGTGGCCGGGGACATGTTCCCGGAGAAATGTGAGCCTTACATCGATGACAATCCAATCAAAGGCGCGCAGGAGAAGGACGAGACGGAAGTCCAGCAAGGGATCCGAAGTTTTGTATGGGACCACTTGCAGGACATCAAGGACTTACTCCGCCGGTTCCTAGTATACAACATTACGACTAGTGGACCAAAGAGTATCCTAGCAGTGCCAGAGGTAACTATACTAGGATTTCGTTGCGGTGCTTACGGCACGAAACCGGATCCAGCAAAGACCGATAAGATATGACAGTGGCCGACACCACTGCGCACGACGACGGAGGTAAGAACATTCCTAGGCGTAGTTGGTTTTTGGAGAATCTTCATTAAGAACTTTGCCAAGATTGCCGAGCTTATCCGGGCTATGATCAGGGAGGAAGGAACCATGGACTAGACGGAGGAGCGAGAAGGAGTTGTCCAAAAGCTCAAGGACATATTGACATCTGAAACAGTCGCCCTGTCCGCGCCTTGTTTTAATGACAAGGTAGGACGACCCTTCATCGTAGAGACGGATGAAGGACCTTTGGCCGTAGGAGGTGTGTTGATTCAAAGGGATGAGGGAGGAAAAGAGAGCCCAATTAGGTTCGAAAGTAGAACCCTGAACTCCGCAGAGCGGCGGTACTATCAGTTCAAGAAGGAGGTCATGTCTTAAGACTTTTCAGGCCTACCTGTTTGGGAGGCGGTTCATCCTCAGGATCGATCCGACGAATGTTGCAGGGGCCTTAAAGAATTACAGGCCTATAGATCCGACAGTGGGGAGGTGGGTAGGATTTATCTGGCAGTTCGATTATAAGATCGAACAGATTGCGGGAATCAGGAACAAGGCTTATGGGCTGAGCCGGGTCTGCATCACTCCCGAAGGGGTGGAGGATGCGGAGCCGATAGATGCGTTCCTCGAATACGAAGGAGGAACTCTTGCGGTGGATAACGAAATGATGAGGGAAGAATGCACATCGGGAAAAGTATTGATCCAGACTTTGGAGAAGGCGGCACCTGCCGTAGTAGCGGAACTTAGAGAAGGACCAGTCACCACTCGATGACACCAAGAAGAAAAGGACTCGTGGGGAGCGATAGTGAGACCGAAAGAGGAGCTAATAGCAATGGCAGTCGAAGGAGGTCGGGAAGCAGTAATGAGCTTAGTGGAAGCTTGGGGAAGGAAAGAGTTACAATGGGTGGTGAATCAGATGCAGGAAGGAAAGGATGGGTTAAGGAAGGAGAGGAGTTTTTCTATGTCCGATCATACGAAGGGCTTTTACGGGAGATCGGGCTGTTGCTGGTAGGAAACAAACAACCTACGGAAGTCAGTATCAAAGCAAGGGAAGAAGCCGAAAGGTACGTCCCAAAGGGCGGGCACTTGTTCCGAAGGGAGGAAGGTGCTATGCCCAGAAGGGTTGTATGCGGAAGATCTAAGCAAGTAGACGTTATCCAGGCAATGCACGATGGGTTAGCTGGGGGTCATCGGTGGTCCAAAGGAACGCTTGCAAAGATAGCGACACTCTATTATTGGCCAGGCATGGCCGACATGGTCGCCATGTACTGCTAGACTTGCCTTATTTGTCAAGAACGAAGCTCGGTGCGAGTCTTCGAGCCTCTTAGACCAACGCGGGTGCTAGGGCCGGGACATCTGGTCCACCTTGACCTTGCGGTCATGCCTGTATCAACGGATGGGTACAGGTATATCCTGGATGCGCGAGACAACTTGAGTGGGTACGTGGAGGCAGTCGCCCTCAAGAAAAAGACAGGGAGGAGTGTGGCAGACTGGATAGAAGATTTCTACTTAAGGCATATGTTTGTCAGGAGGTTTATAGCAGACAATGGGACGGAATTTGTGAACCAAGAGGTGTTGGGGATGCTTAAGAGACTCTGCGTACCGATCAAACTCATTGAGCTGTATCACCCTCAGGCCAATGCACCTGTGGAAAGGGGGCACCGAACCTTAAAGAATACGATTGCAAAGCTCGCAGCGGACCATCTGGGGAACTGCCCTAGGTATCTTAAGCAGGCTGTCTTTGCAGAGAATATAACCCCTAAAAGGACAACATGATGTATCCCGGCAGAGCTTTGGTACGGAAGAGAGATCGACTTTCCTGTGAAAGCCTTGGTGCCTACCTGGAATAGGTTAGATGATGATCCGCGAATGACCACTAAAGAATTAATCGAGGCAAGATGTCAACAAATCCTTAAGAATGAGGAGGTCATGGAAGACATCGCCAACCGGGTACTAGACAGCAGGATGAGGGACAAAACAAGGTGGGACCAGGTTAAGAATGTCAGAAAGGAGCCACTCCAAGTGGGAGAGATGGTATTGCTAAGGAACTCGACACTAGAAAGTACTTGGTCGGGACAACTGGGAAAGAGGTTTAAAGGCCCCTACCGGGTCGCCAAGCGGGTGGGACTGAACACCTTCGAACTGGAAGATGTGGATGGAACTGGATTGAAAGGCCCCTTCCCTGGGCAGCGATTGGTCAGGTTTCTGAGTCGGGACCCGGTGGAACAGTGGCTTCAGGAGGCCGAAGATGAGGAAACTGAGGAGCTACAAGCTAAGGACTGACCACAACCTTGGGCACACTTTGAGTTGTCTCTGACCATGTTCATGGGACTGTCATTTTTTGGGGTTTTTGGTTTGACTGACTGGGGTTGAAAGGCGGCGTGACTTGGGGGTTTGCAATATCTGGCCGGTACGACAACGGGAAGGGATGTTGGGGCATTGTACCATAGTTTTTCACGGGAAAAAATGGGACCTTCACAAATGGCGCATTCGCATGTATAATAGGGGCATGGTGCGAAGACTGTTGGGAACATTTTGGAAAAATGGGGAAATGCCTACCGGACTGGGGGAGTGGGTGCATGAGGGGCTTTTCGAGTGTTGTTTTGTTATACAGGATCCAAAAGGAAAAGAGAAGATGAAATTCGGCAACGAAAACGACAGCGGGGCGGTCAACAGGGCAACCGGAGGGGAGGGAGCAGGACCAAGCCAAGGAAGGAGAGGGGCAAAGAGAAAGTTGTACATAGGACTCATGGGTGGGCCAATGTTAGGCAGGGGTGGAAAGAAATGCTTGTGTAGGAAGCCCTCACCCCTCCGCAAGGGAGAAGGCATTGAAATATCGTCTGACAGTGAGGGAGAGAAGGAAAGGGCAAATGTGGAAGAAGGAGGCAATACGGGAATGGGAGATGAGTTTCGGGTCCCTAACGAGGAAGGGGCCAACAAGGGCAAACGACGTGAGATTTGGCATGGGGAAAGCGAGGGGGAACAAGGTATGCACAATGAACGTGAGGAGGACGAGGAGAAAAGGGAGAGCCAGCTGGAAGGACGAAGTGGTCATGACAGTTGCGAGGGGTATGGGGCGGGGATAGAGACCCTTTTTACCTACGATCCAAAGAACCTTGGTGGTGGATATAGCCCCATACGGATGGAGGACGAGGAGGACGAGGAGGAAGATGTGCGGGAAGTCATAGAAATCAGCAGCAGGGATGAGAGGGATGAGATCTCAAGGCCTAGGGAAGAGGGGCGGCCTCCGATGCACCAGCCGGGCGACGGGGCTTTCAGATGGGAGGACGAGTTTGGGCCGACACCTAGTCATTGGTTTCAGCAATGGACCAATGCGATCAGGCACGAGTGGATTGTCAAGACTCGGGAACTCGCAAGGGCGGGGGTGGAAGCCACGCCACTGGATTTTTTTAACGAGGAAGAGTTGCGAAAAATTGTAAGGATAAGGAGAGAAATCGAGACCTTCGGCCTGGGGGTTAGATAACCGGTTGAGGAACAAGGTGGACCAGGAAGCAAGTCGAGGCACAGGACAGCAATAGGCATTAGATGTTGATTGAGTATTGGGCAAAGATCCTAGTTTACTTCTCAATTGCAAAACACTGGAGCAGAATGTGTATAGTATGAGTGAGTTTGCAAAGGATGAGTGATGGAAGGGCCAGCTAAGTCTGCGTCGTGACAAGATTAGAAGATAGCGTATTGAGGCTACTTTTGGATGAGTTACCTTCGAAAGTGGGTACACAAGACAAGGACATGGGGCATGGGATGAGACCAGTTGGGAAGGGTGTATTGTGAAACTTGGATGGAATAAGTATTGTGCTTTTGAGAAAAGAAATTGTGAGTACGGATTGACAAGCAAGCAAGGCATTGAATGTTGGTCAAGAGAGGTTAGGGAACCTATGGGTTAAGGGGCGTGAAGAACACTCCTTCCCTAGGAGCCTAATCCAATTGAGTCATGGATGAGTTTGAGAATAGCCTAAACCTGAGTGATCAGGAAAGAGTGAAAATGGAAAGAGCGCCCCCGTCTTTTGTTATGGATGAACGACCGGGTCGGCTAGTGCTGCTTGGGGTTGCGAGCCCCAACTCGAGTACTAGACGCTAAGTCGGATGTACGCATGGATGGTACATTATTGAGAGAAATGAAAAAAGGGAAACAGCACCCAAAACAAAACTGAGATGAGATAACCACCTTCTAACCTCCAAGACAGAAATGGGATCCGTAACCTCGAGGCCCAACCCCTCGGGCACTAACATTGAGATTGGAAAGGAATGGCCCTAACCAGGTTGTTCGACTTGAGAATGGAAAAGAATGGCCCTAACCAGGTGTTTCGACTTGAGAATGGAAAAGAATGACCCTAACCAGGTTGTTCGACTTGAGAATGGATAAGAACGACCCTAACCAGGTTGTTCGGGAATGGCCCCTGACAAGGGTCATTCCTTTTGAAATAGGCACTGGGGTCCCCTGCATATTGGATTGAGAAAGGTTGATTGAGAATATGTTCAAATGAGCGATGAGATGGAAAAGGCCAGTGGGACGGTCATTGAAATAGCCAAAGGAAGGATGGAAGAGAAGGAAAAAGGGCCGGTGGGTCGGTCATTGAAATAGCCAAAGGAAGGATGGAAGAGAAGGAAAAAGGGTCGGTGGGTCGGTCATTGAAATAGACAATGGAAGGATGGAAGAGAAGGAAAAGGCCGGTGGGTCGGTCATTGAAATAGCCAATGGATGGATGGAAGAGATGGAAAAGGCCGGTGGGTCGGCCGTTGAAATTGCCAAGGGGGCAGAAGGAAGATGTGAATGAGAAGGACATAATAAAAGAGGCAGAACCTTAAAGCCAAGAGGGGCAGGGACTGTTGGGACGGTCACAAAGATTGGGTGTTGAGGAATGGGAATTGAGGATTGATGGGCGGAAGGGTCAGCCTTGAGAAATGACTATTGAGAAAATGACCACCAGACCGGCCGTGTGGGTGACCTTGTTGATGAGAGACCAACGGACCAGTTATGAGAATCAACCTTGGAAATAGCATTGGATTGAATGATTGAGGATTGAATATTGCATTGCATAGTCAGGGGACCCTAGGCAACTTGGAATGGATTTGGAAATAGCCTTGTGGATTTTCTCCTTTTCTAGTCTTTGGCCGCAGCAGGAGGGTGATACCGGTGCTCGCACCGCGACCCCAAGACCTCTATCCCTATAAGGGAAAAAGTCTCAGCGCGACCTGTTCCTCTTGTAAGAGGATGAGGGTTAAAGGACCAAGGCACCTACCGCTTGGACTGGTGCGGGACGTCCGGAACTGACCCCGACAACGAACTCTAGTCGGGAAGTTAAAGTTGCGCCTCATGTTGAACGCCTAAATGTCAAAGGGTGAGGGAACCAAATGGGTGAGTGAGCCATTATTTTTTTCTAGTCTCTTTTTGTTCTCCCCGACCACACGCCATGCCGTTGAGGGGCGGCACAGCCGCTTGGAACGGACCACGGCGGCTCGCGTTAAGTTGAGTTGCACTGTCTAGAGGGAAGAGTTGAGCGTGGTACCGGGTGGAAGCCACAACCACCACGGGGCATTGACACCGCCCCGCCGGAGCATTACAACCGCTTCGGGACTAATTGCGAGGTCTTCGTAACTGCACTCGTGAACTAATTGAGAGCCCCAACTCTCTTGAAAGGAAGAGGCCGGATCCAGAAAATTACCACTCGGGAGGAACGATGCGCGAGGAATGCTCGTACGGCTAGACGAGACCCTGAAAGGCTTGGATTGGACCTGCCTACCAGACGTGAGGAGGAACCTCAGTATTGGTGCTCGCCACGTAAGAGCAGAAAGGTCGGACCGAGATAAAGGATGAGGCGTCGTCCGCTGGGGAGGAACTGATCACTCTTCCTTTTGTGAAGCGGAAGGGCTTGTGTCCTTGGCTTGCGGTTGGTGGACCAAAGGTCTCGTGCCTCCGAGTGAGGACCAGTCGCGCGATGGGGACATCGCGTTTTGAGTGGGGGGAAGGTGTGCCATATACCCAAGAAAAAGTGTGCAAAAGAGAAGGATACCATGAACATAAGGATGAATGAGTAATTGACTTTGCACAGGCTTGAGAAGAGGCCTGGCAAGATGTCCAGAAGAGAAACGAATGAATAATTAACGTTGCATGAGCTTGAGAAAAGGCCTGGCAAGATGCCCAGAAGAGAAGAATGGATGAGTAATTAACTTTGCACAGGCTTGAAAAGAGGCTTGGCAAGATGTCAAGAAGAGAAACGGATGAATAATTAACGTTGCATGAGCTTGAGAAAAGGCCTGGCAAGATGCCCAGAAGAGAAGAATGGATGAGTAATTGACTTTGCGAAAAGGTCTGGCAAGATGCCCAGAAGAGAAGAATGGATGAGTAATTGNAGAAGAGAAGAATGGATGAGTAATTGACTTTGCGAAAAGGTCTGGCAAGATGCCCAGAAGAGAAGAATGGATGAGTAATTGACTTTGCGAAAAGGCCTGACAAGATGTTCAGAAGAGAATCGGATGAGAAATTGATGTTGCATGAGCTTGAGAAAAGGCCTGGCAAGCGATTTGTGTAATTGAATTGGCATGAACTTGAAAATGAGCCGAGCAAGACATCTGGAAAAGAAAAGATTTGTATGATGAACCATGTATGGATCTAAGAGAAAAGACTGGGAAACAGATGAATGTTTGGCTTGCATGAGTCTGAGAAAAAGGACTGACAAGGTGTCCGAAAGAAAGGATGCACAAGGGGATGAACTGGGCAGCATGCATGAAAAAGTTAAAAATAAGCAAGGAACAAGAAAGGACAAAAGAGTGATATGGATGCGAAATTGGCAGGACCTGAGGAAAGTCGGGCGAAAGGACCCGGGGGAGATGCATGTGGATTTGGCAAAGCCTGAACGTCAGGGAACGGTAAAAGGAAAACATGGATGGAACGGGCTAAAAAATAGATTATTTTTGATGACTCTCAGAGTAATGAATAAGCCAAATCCAAAATGTTTTCCTCAATGAAATGGGAAGACAGATGTGAGATTATGAAGCACTTAGGGGGAGTTGTGCCTGGGCTCACAGATTCAAAGTAGGTATCACCACGGCAAAGGCGGCGGTTGTACTGAACGAACAACCTCCTTCCGGAGCAAATGCCTGACGACGAGTTGCATCCGAAAACTTGCCTACAATTTGTTATCAACAAAACCAAAGCATAAAATGAGAAAACCAATTGTGTTACGACAACAAATTGTCGCCCTGGGAATAAAGCCAGCATGCCAGTAGTTACGTGCATGAAGCAAGGAGAGTTTCGTCTGCTTCATATTACTGAAGTTGAAAGAATTATAGGCCGCCCTGCTGAGTATACAGAGTTGACTGAAGAGGAACCTCAATTGAGGGAAAGAAAAAGAGGCAGAGCTATGACAGAATTGAGCAACCTGGTGTAAGCTGTAGAACCTTCGACTCCCCCATACCCTCCTCCACCCCAAGGGGTGAAAGCTAAGGAAAAGGGGTGAAAGCTAAGGAAAAGCTTGAGAAAGGAATGGGAAAAGAACGAAACGGACCCTGGCAAACTAACCATCCACAACACCTCATCTCCCTCTCTCATCTATTCCCTCCAAAATTCACTGACAAGAGATTGGTGCGCGATGAGTACATCACCAAAGAGTGGGGGGAATGTGTCAGGACTGGTGAGTCCCGAATAACTTCCCATCACTCGAGAGACCGAATATGGACGATCTGTGCACAACAGAGAAATCCGAGGTAAGACGAGATAAAGGCTTAGGCTGCAGGAGGAAATAATGCCCTGAGGCGAGAACCACAGGGAGAAAATAACTAAGCGGCGGCAAGCAAGCGAGCACAAGAACAGGGGCACATAGAACATAGCAGGAGGTCGGGAGGGCCATCGGAATGCAATAAGACTAAGGCCAAAGGGCCCTTTGAACTAGCAATTGCAGCGCGACAGCAATAAGGGAATGAGGAAGTCGAGGAATGGGCGGCCGGAAGCCGCAGGAAGCCCGAAAATGAGGGGCCAACGTGGGGGGCCACCTACGGGAGCCTCGGAGCGGAGGCCCACGATCAAAGAGATCGGCACGCACAAGGCGCAAGGAAAGACTAAGGAGAGGGGTCGCTACGGGGCGGCTAGACGCCCTAGGGGCATGGGACACCTCGGGGAAAGGCACCCGGGGCCACGTGGGACTAAGTAAAAATAATAGCATCCGGGGCGAAATGTGTCGGGGACCGCCGACGGGACTAAGTGTCGGGGACCACCGGTGGGACTAAGTGTTGGGGACCACCGACGGGACAAGCGGCGGGGACATGTGAAAGTCCCAAGAAGAAACGGCGGCACCGCATAAAGGAAAAATAATAAATGCAAGGTGCACCCTCAAGATCGACATCTTGACGACCAATAATATTAGCACCACTAGTGCAAGTACTAGTGGTGACAAACGGAAAGGCCAAAAGAAAAAGGAAAAGTAAAGAAAACTGAAGTGGGAGGCATGGGAGCAATCCGAAAAATCTCGGATTAGCCTCCCTCAAGAAAATAGAGTCAAATGAGACCCCATGTGAAAAATAGCCCTCTTGGAG